GCTGCCTCCTGAGACCACAGCGAGCCCACCTGATACCAAAGGGCCTTCTCTTGGGTGGAGAGGGGGGTTTCCCCTAAAACCCAGGTTGGCATCAGCGTGCTGAGTCCCGGTCCTACTCTCAATCCTACAAACTCTTCTTGTCCGCATGAGGCAGCACTCCATGCAGGTTCTCATCCTGCTGCCTGGCCAGAGGCCTGCCTGCCAGTGATCCCTGCAGACGGACGTCTCTCTCGAGTGTCAGGTGGCTCAGTGTGGCGAGCTGAAGAAGTTATCACAAGCTTTCACCTTGAGGCACCTGAGAGAGAGAGCAAGACGGCTGGTCAGCAGCCCTGCTGGAGCCACTGGAGAGACTCTGGCCAGGGTTCGTGTTCTTGCTGCGTCTGCTCAAACGGGCAGGTCTGAGCCGGAGATATGGCCTCGATATGGGCTGCCAGTGTTTGTGTCAGGATACGAAGGATACAGGCTTCATAAGTTGGACTAAGTGAACTTCCTTGAATGGGTCATTCAAGACATATCGACCTCACTGCAGAAACAATGCTAGCTCTTTGTCCATAAAATTTAAAAAAAATGCTTCAATCATGAATGTTTTCATGTGGAAAAAAAAAGAAGTTATAACAAAAAATACTGAACTCCACTCACCCGGCCTGTTCCATGGTCCCAGCAAAGCTGCCCTTCTGCTGCCCAACTCCTAGAAAAGGTCATTGTCAACCCAGAGCACGCCCAGGCTCTCCTTCAGCTGTGAACGTGCTGGCAGACACAACGCTCTGCGTTCCGGCAGGTGGTGTGTGGGTTTTCTGCTCCATCCAGGTCTTCCACTGGGCAGACACTCCCTGGGGCCTCCTCACCAATCAAGCTCCAATTTCGGCCTCACCTGGCAGGACATGGCCATGTGCTGCTGCCGGACCTGTGAAGCTGAGCTCCTTTCTCCAGAGCTAAACAAAACACCAGTAGGAATCAATGGCTTTTTTCCCCCCCAACAAATTGGCCCAAACCGTCTGGCTGATGTGACTAAGTGGTTGAGTGGCAACCTATGAACCAGGAGGTCACAGTTCAATTCCCAGTCAGGGCACAGCCCAGGTTGCGGGCTCGATCCCCAGTGGGGAGCATGCAGGAGGCAGCTGATCTATGATTCTTGCTCATCATTAATGTTTCTCTCCCTCTCTCCCTCTGCCCTTCCTCTCTCTGAAATCAATAAAATCATATTTTTTTAAAAAAAAATTGGCCCAAACCCTTGGACACCAGCCTTTTGAGCAAGTGAAACTTACTTTGAGATTAGAGATGAAATTGGCAATGTGTCCCCTTTCCCTTCTTCTCTGGCCCACTGCTACCCCGCGGTGGGACCCCAGCCCCATGACGTGCTCCAGGCTTCAGTGAGCCCAACAGTTGTCCCCGCCTCAGTGGAGCTCCGAGTTGTGTGAATCACTTTCAGAGAGAGGTCACTGTAGACAATGATGTAGCCTAGTGGTTCCTGAAATGTGGTCCCCAGCCAGCATCACCTAGGATATGCTATTTTCACGCCCATCCCACACCTTCCAGAATCAGAAACTCTGACCCCAGCCATTAAGAGTTGAACAATCTCTCCAGGTGCTTCTGATGCCCACTAGAGATTGAGAACCACCTGTGTCAGTGGTTCTCAACCTTGGCTGCACATTAGAATCACCCGGGAATCTTTTTAAAATCCTGATTCTGGGCTTTATCCGCCGAAAATGCTGTTTCTTTGTTAGTCATGTTGTGGCCCCACCCCATAACAAAGAAACAGCATTTCCGGAGGATGGGGCCCAGAAATCAGGATTTTAAAAAGATTCCCAGGTGATTCTAATGTGCAGCCAACGTTGAGAACCACTGACTATGTAGATGACTGATGGTATTGAGCAGCTGCATGGACTAAGCCTTTCTTGGTCCAGCAAGCCCAGCCCCCTACCTAGCCAAGGCCCCGCTGCTCCATGACTATGGATAGATTTTGCTGACAAATGACCTGTACTGGAGGCAGAGGGGAGCAACCTGCCGTTTCTCAGAGCCGCGTGTGGGGAGCTGGTCCAAAGTCTGGTGGTTGCTATTAGGCAACTGCTGGCCATTAAACCCCACGACCCTCTGGCTGGAGGCCCCACCCCCTCAGTTTTACTTCAGTCTTCTACAGTTAGACATGCCAAGCTCCATCCCATCTGTCACCTCATGCCAATAAATGTCCTCTTGCCGGGGACCTTAGGACTAGCTCCTTCAGTGGCCTGGCTGAACAAAAGCAAGGTGCATCGTATGCTATGCTCCGCAGCACAGAGAACGCTGCCTGTGTCAACTAGCTATCCTCACTGCCTTCTGTTTCCATTTGTGTTTCTCTTAGTGGCTATGGCCAAACACATGCTAGTCTGGATCAACACAAATATTTGTGATCTATTTTAGTACCATAAAAACTACAAAAGTTTTTTCTGGGCTCATATATAGTACTATCTAGGTTTACCTCAGCTTCTGAGTTTGCAAGCTGGTAAACACTTTAACTGATTCAACCTAAGGTCAATTTGGCTTTTCATGGCAATTTTAGTCCCACACCACTAACTTCACTGACAACAACCAGCTCTCCATCCAGACACAGTCACCTCCACTTCCTATCACAGTCCCTGATTTTTCTTACACTTGGTTAGCTTCATTCACTCGTTCACTGATTTGTTATTCCCCCTCTCTCATCAAAGGTTTAATTTTTAAATATATTTTATTGATTTTTTACAGAGAGGAAGGGAGTGGGAGAGGGACAGAGAGTTAGAAACATCGATGAGAGAGAAACATCGATTCAGCTTCCTCCTGCACATCTCCCTACTGGGGATGTGCCCGCAACCCAGGTACATGCCCTTGACCGGAATCGAACCCGGGACCCTACAGTCCACAGACCGACGCTCTATCCACTGAGCCAAACCGGCTAGGGCAAAGGTTTAATTATTGAGCAAAACAGTTACTCCATACATTTATACCATGCTAAGCACTTCCCATCCCAGCTCACACCTGCGAGGAATAGACTCTAAGGGCAGGGGCGAGGCGCCTCCTGCCGGCGTCCCGGCGCACTGCAGCTTTTGCAGGCGCGCTACCGCCGCGTCCCCGCGGGTCACGAGCTTCCCAGGACCTGGGGGCGAGTGCCCGCGCAAGGCTTCCTGGGAAATGTCCTCGGTGTACGTGTTAGAACTACAAATCCCGGTAGGCACCGCGCTGCAGCCCGATGATGAGGGCGCCGTGGTGAATCTGAATCTTGTTTGTCAGTGCCACTGGGAATGCTGTACAAACCTGATTCAATATTCACAGGAGGCTCTGGGGGGACATGATCGTTCTTCTGCCAGGCGCGCACGAACGGACTCGAGTTCCGCAGCTTCCCCGGACTTGCTCGGTGGCGAATCTGCCGTTGCGGCACACTGGGCAGGTGCGTAAGGCCCCAACGGGAACTTTGTGGAATCTGCTGTGGGGAGAACGACGCCAGGGTCTCTTGGGCAACTGCAGCCATGGCGGCGGCTGCCCCCAGTGCCGGCGGCTCCGCGCCCCAGGCGGCGGGCTCCGCCGAAGCGCCCCTGCAGTACAGCCTTCTTCTGCAGCACCTGGTGGGTGACAAGCGCCAGCCCAGGCCCCTGGAGCCCGGGAGCCTAGGCGGGATCCCGAGTCCGATCAAGAGTGAGGAGCAGAAGATGATCGAGAAGGCGATGGAAAGCTGCGCCTTCAAGGCAGCGCTGGCCTGCGTGGGAGGTGAGGCCAGGCGAGGGGGCCCGTGGGCGGCTGAGGGTTTGGATGGCAGCGGGGTCCTCTGCCAAGACCAGGCGCCTGGGAGGAGAGGAGTCTGGGGGCCTCGACCTTCCCTGCACCCCGTCTCTTCCGGTGAACGCCAGCCACGCTCTGTAGACTCTGGACATTGGATCAGAGAAGCGGTACGATGGGTCGGGGCCTGGACGTTATGCATCGTTCATTCGTTCACTTTAAAAGAATCATCCTTTCAATAGCTTGTTACCCAGCAGCTGTCCGGCGCCAGGCGGTGGAGAGAGAAGCGAACTTTCTTATGTTTATAGGTCGAAGAATAGCTGGCGGAAGGATGCTGCAGAATAGGGAGCACCCCGTGCAAAGGTCTGGCGGGAGCTGGCTTGAGGTGTGTTTTTAAAAGATTTTTTTATTTTAGAGAGAGAAAGGGAGAAAGGCATCTATCGGCTGCCTCCTGCACGCCCCCTACTGGGGACCCAGCCCGCAACCCCAACCCGAGCGGGTGCCCTGACCCGAGTGGAACTGGTGACCTCCCTGCACCGGAGGACGTCCAGCCAACAGGACCACACCGGCCTGCGCTGGCCTGAGGTTTGAAAACTGAAAGGCCATTGTGGCCAGTGTGACCAGACAGCAGTGAGCAAAGGGGAAAGAAGTCTAGAATGTCCAGTGCCCCTCCTGTGTGCAGGGTAAAGAGACCGACCACATTTGCAGATGAGTTGGGATCTCATTGAGAATGAGGGACGGACGAGTATAGTGAGAGTGCAAGTGCGAAGTACAGTAGAAGAAAGAGAAAGCTTGTTTGTTTGTTTGGCCTCCTGCACGCCCCCTACTGGGGACCCAGCGCGCAACCCCAACCCGAGCGTGTGCCCTGACCCGAGTGGAACTGGCGACTTCTCTGCACCGGAGGACGCTCGGCCAACGGGGCCACACCGGCCTGGGCTGGCCTGAGGTTTGAAAACTGAAAGGCCATTGTGGCCAGTGTGACCAGACAGCAGTGAGCAAAGGGGAAAGAAGTCTAGAATGTCCAGTGCCCCTCCTGTGTGCAGGGTAAAGAAACTGACCACATTTGCAGATGAGTTGGGATCTCATTGAGAATGAGGGACGGACGAGTATAGTGAGAGTGCAAGTGCGAAGTACAGTAGAAGAAAGAGAAAGCTTGTTTGTTTGTTTGGGGAAGACCACAAGAGAAGGGGAGACTGGGGCAGTGTCTTGACGGATTGAGAGAATGGGGGTGGACAAAGAGGAAGAGAAACGTCATTTCCAGTTGGGGTCGGGGAGGGGATTTGGGCTTTTTGCCCATAGGCATTAGGGCAGTAATGGATGTTTTTTTAGGGGGGTAACAGGTGGTACTGAGAGTGATGCAGGATGGAGTGTGGGGAAGGAAGGAGCAGTGTGGAGTGGAGACCATAGAGGAGAAAGGCCGGACTGAACATGGGTTTGAACTGTGTGAGTCCACTTATACATGGATGTTTTTCAATAAATACCTGTACTGTTTTCTTTGTTTTTTAAAAACATATTTGTACTGATTTCAGCGACTGTGCTCCACCCGATACATCACTGAAAGAGTTGTTGAAATGAGTCTTTGAAGTGCTCCAGGGTGGAAGTGACAGGCCCTAGCCTAGCTCTGCTCTGATGGCTCAGTTGGTTGGGTGTCTTCTGGTGCATTGGAAGGTTGCCAGTTGGATTCACCCTCAGGGCACATACTCCGGTTTTGGACTCAGTCCCTGGTGGGGGTTGTGCAGGAGGCAGCTGATCAATGTTCTGCTGTCACATCGATGTTTTTCTCTCTCTCCACCCCCTCATATCCCTTACTCTTTCTCTGAATGAATGAATGAATGGATGAATGAACAAATAAAATAGGGAGTGTGCAGGAGGCAGCTGATTGATGTTTCTCTCTCATCGATGTTTCTAACTCTCTATCTCTCTCCCTTCCTCTCTGTAAAAAATCAATGGAATATATTTAAAAAAAAAAAATAAAGAAATGCCCCTGAGGTTTGTAGCTGGAGTGACTGGAAAGGAGACGTAAGCAAGCACGTCGGGAGGGGAGGTGCCCATGATTTCACTGAACATACACAGCTGACTCTAGGACAACATGGGTTTGAACTGTGTGAGTCCACTTATACATGGATGTTTTTCAATAAATACCTGTACTGTTTTCTTTGTTTTTTAAAAACATATTTGTACTGATTTCAGCGAGGAAGGGAGAGAAATAGAAACGATGAGAGATAATCATTGATTGGCTGCCTTCTGCATGCCCCCTACTGGGGATCGAACCTGCAACCTGGGCATGTGCCCTGACCAGGAATGGAACTGGCGACCTGTCTGTCACCCCCGGACAGTGCTCAACCAACTGAGCCACATGGGCCAGACCTGTGCTGTCTTCATTCCTCTGCTGGGAGTCCACCGATGTGGTCGGCTTGCTGTGTGCATTGATTTATACCATTTGATACAGGGACCTTGAGCACCTGCAGATTTTGGGATTTGTGGGGGTCCTGGAACCAGTCCCCCACAGATAACAAGGGACATCCAAACTCTTTTCCCCCAAGGGCAAAACGTTATTTTTGAAGAATTTCATGCTTCACATTTTCACTCACATAACAAAACAGGATGAGGGGAGCCTCATCCTGGGAATAAATAGGATCATGAAATTTCCTTTGAAATGACAACACTTGGAAATTTCTACCAGCATCCAAAATGAGCAGAAAAGAGGAGCCACACCAGTTGGGCAGGAAAAAAAGCATAGATTTCTTTGGTCGGGGTTCTCGCATGTAGTCTTAATATTTCTTCTTCTTTTTTGTTTTGTTAATCCTCATCCAGGATATTTTTTCCATTGTGTGTGTGTGTGTGTGTGTGTGTGTGTGTGTGTGTGTGTGTTTGTTTTGATTTTTTAGAGAGAAAGTGAAAAGGATAGGGAGAGACACAGAGAAAAACAGGGACTGGTTGCCTCCCCGCACGCCCCGGGAGGAGCCTGTAATCGAAGTCTGCACTCTTGACCAGAATTGAACCCGTGATCCTGCGCTGACGCTCTAACCAGTGAGCCAAATCGGCCAGAGCAATGTTTCTTTCAATTCATATTTCTAAACCAGTAAAAAGAAGGAAAGAAAAGTAAATCTAATGGTTGCTGAAACTGGGGAGGTTGCTCTTTTGCCTTCTGTGCAGGCTTTCCCGGAAAAATTGCTAGAAACATTGGCTGATAATTCTCCTTTTGTACATCTTTTGTAAAGAATAACCATAAACATTTCAATGTTCACATCTTGGTTATTAGTCTTCCACTCTTTTGCTTGGATGCCTCTTTGGTGTTGGTAAGGTCGTGGTTGGCCTTTTGTGTTCTTTTTTGAACGGTCATTAATTCTTTAGGTCACCTGCGGATGGTATAGGTCAGTGGTCGGCAAACTGTGGCTCGGCAAACTGGCTTGCGAGCCACATGTGGCTCTTTGGCCCCTTAAGTGTGGCTCTTCCACAAAATATCGACTTCTGCCCATGGGCCATGAAGTTTCAATTGCACTGTACGTGTGCGCCCGCACGTGGTATTTTGTGGAAGAGCTGCATGTGGCTCGCGAGCCTCGGTTTGCCGACCACGGTATAGGTGCCTGGGAGCCTGGTGTTACCCTGCTGGGTGGGTGACTGGAGCAGGGTTCTCAGGTGGTGCTTCCCCTGCCTGGTCTCTTTGCCATCTTGTGAAGGAGCATTGGGAGGATGGGGGCAATGCCGATAGTTGTAGAGGCGCTGGTATCCACAGTGAGCAGATGGCTGATTTGGATCATGGCCGCTTGCTGATTCTCTTATCTTCAGCCTCTCCCACAGTTGGGGCAGGTTGTGGGCGAGGAGGTCCCCTATGGTACCTTGGACGGTAAGTTGGATTTCGATGAACCGGTCCGTGAAGCTGTGCTCCCTCTGGGACTCCATCCTTCATCTCCCCAGTCTCACCAGCCTGCATTCTGTTGGGATGGGAAAAGACTGAGCCAGGGTCAGAGGTCTGTCCCACGTGGTCAGGCGGGAACCTTCGCCATACTGAGGGCTACAGGGGAGAGGGAGAGGGAGGGGGTGGGGTGCAGCTGACTCCAGGCCCAAAGAAGTGCCTCTCAGTGGCAGGAGGGTCAAATCCTTCACTGCTGCTGCTCCCTTCCCCCGCCCCCCTCCTCCCCAGCATGATTATGGGGAGGTCCGCAGCGTCTGCCATGGTAGCCACATCTGAACTGGTGCGGATCAACAGGATCGGCCCTGCGGGAACTCCTCCGGGCCAGTCACATTGCTGCCTCAGCACCTCTCTCCTTCCCCCACCCAGACTAGTTTCTCCACCCCACACGGCGCAGATATTCCCGGGGGTTCTTGATGGCAGTCTGATGCACACACACGTTCTTGGTGTCATTTTGACTTAAAACCCCATATCCATTTATGATGGCCTGACACGGCCTGGCCCGTGCCACCGCACTCGGGCACCTCAGTAGTGTTGGCTGGTGGTTAGCACAGCTGGTGGTTGTAGCGACCAGGCTCTTTCTCTTGGATTGGGTCTCGGGCTCCTCACTGGATCTTGCTCGCGACAAATGTTTTTGGGGAGTCAGAAGTTATATGTGGATTTTTGACTGGGGGGGACTTGGTACCCTTAATGCTTGCATTTTTCAAGGGTCAATCGGATTGGCCATGAGGTAATGAGAGGACATTCATATTGAAATGCCCAGCAGGCTCAGGAAGGTCAGATGTGGACAGCAATGTAGAGTTTGCCATTTGGTAGCTTTGTGACTTTAGGGAAGTTAATTAACCTCTCTGAGCCTCGGTGCCTTCAGCTACAGAAAGGAGGGGGTAAAAATATCTACCTCACAGGATTATTGTAAGGAATAAATGAGGCTCTAACTATAAAACGTCATAGCAATTGGCAGATGGTATTTATTAAATGACTATTATGAATGTTACCATTGTTAAGGGAGTGATTTGCAAAGTTGATAGCTGCACTCAAGGGTGACTGTTACATGTGAGAGAGTGTAGAGGGAGAACAGAGGGTTGAAGACTGAATCTTGAGAAATATAAGATGAAATAAAGAAGAAACCCAGGAGGAGACAGAGAGGAAGCTGTCAACAAGATGAGCCTAGGTTGTGTAATGTGGAAGCCAGGCAAGTGGAGAGTTTGGGTGCAAGGGGGGTGGGTCTCCTCTTCCCTGGTGGCCACCCAGAAGGTGCTATTCGAATATGACCCATTGCAGTAACTCGGAAAACATGCCAAGAAATCTTCATCTCTGTTTGTTTTTAGGATTTGTCTTAGGAGGTGCATTTGGGGTGTTCACCGCCGGCATTGATACCAATGTGGGCTTTGACCCCAAGGATCCTTACCGGACTCCGACAGCAAAAGAAGTTCTTAAGGACATGGGGCAGAGAGGAATGTCCTACGCCAAAAATTTTGCCATTGTGGGCGCCATGTTTTCTTGCACTGAGTGTTTGGTCGAATCTGTAAGTGTCTCTGCCTCCTGCGAAAGCCATGCCTCCTGCCATCTTATGACTTCTAAGGAGAAAGACTCTTAATGTTATTAGAAAGCAGATCAGAAATGTCCGATATTTGCTAGATTGAATGTCCATAAAGTAGCCCCTATTGTAAACACTTTGTACTTATAATTTGGGCTTGCATGATTCCTGACTCCTTTTTGTGGGCTTAAAGTTGGTTGATGATCTTAAACACGAGACTTACTGGGGAGCCCGAGACGAGATTGGCTTACTTCTCAAAGGCTGTGCTTGGTCTCCGTGCTCTGGTGTCACCTGCGGAAAGCAGCTATGAACACATTCAAATTTTAGGAGCTACACTTTTGAAAGAGAAACAGATTAGGTTTCCTTTGGGGCGGGACTAAATTAGCCAGCTAGAAACCCTGTGCTTTTCCCCCTTAATCGTCTCGTCTGGCGTGTTTCTTTGGCTCTAACCTGCACTTCTCCACCCACAGTACCGGGGGAAGTCCGATTGGAAGAACAGTGTCATTAGTGGCTGCATCACTGGAGGAGCCATTGGTTTCAGAGGTTGGTAAACAAGTCTCGAGTGGTTCTCTTTGTGGCCTTGGACAGCATGCTGAAGTGGCCATTTCTAAACATAAGAGTGTTCCAGGGACAGCCCAAGGCATATGTGGGCACTTGGTATTCTTCCCTTCTGACAAATGAATCACGTTTGCTTATGTGTCAACTCACTGTTGGAAATTTCAGGATTTCTTCTCCTTGGCACTATTGACATTTTGGACCAGATACATCCGCTCCGGGGAGGGGGTTGTCCATGTGTTTAAGGATGTTTGCACATCCCTGGCCTCTACCCACTAGATGCTAGTAGCGCTTCTTAGTTGTGAGAACTAAGTGTCTCCAGACATTGTCGAATGTCCCGAGGGGCAAAATTGCTCCGAGGTGAGAACCACTGATACATCTAGATCTGTCTGAGGAAAAAGAACTGCCCCGTGTTGGGAATACGGGAGAACGTCCTCACAGTAATCCCTGGAGTATGGTCACATGCAGGCTAGTACGGAAGCATAGCCAGGTCCCATTCAGCCCTGGAAAGCCCATTTGTCCACATGTCATGCTGAACTTTCGGCTTCATGCATGTCCAGTATTTAGACGTTTTTCTTAATAATACTATACAGTTGTCAGTTTTAATTTTATTTATTATACGTTATCACAGTAATGTCTTTCTGCAGTTGAGGATTCTTAGATTTCTACCCATGGAAACCAAATATAGACATTTAAGAAACGTTGGATTATCAGCTGAAAACAACGAAGAAAGAAACTAATGTCCTGCCACTTCTCCCTGTTGGCATTCCCATCAGGAGTGATAGAAGGGGTCAGTGACTCGACTTTCCTAACAGTGTCCGTTGCTGGGCCACTCTGTCTGCTGTGCCCCGACTTACCCAAAGCAAAGAGCCCGTTTCCTCGTTTTCGGAGAAGCAGGACGATTTGCTATCATTAAAAACTTGCTTTTGCTCCTCAAACGGACATTTATGACTTAGAGGGCAACTTTCCCTTTGGTCTTCCCATCGCTCAGCTCTGTCGGGCCGTTGGGAAGCTCGGCTCCCTAGGACGGCTTTGATCACCTTCCCAGGAATTTATTCCATAAACAAGCCAGGAGCAGGCCATATGCTTTCACTTGATTCCAAGGGCTGGTTTTCTTAACCAGTTTCCTGCCTGTGAGGAGCTGTTTTCATGAGACTGGAAATATTAATTCTTTGGAATGAGGAAAGTTAAACGAATGCACAGTGTAACTAAAGCACTGGGTTAGATCATTTACCCGGCTTCATTGAAGCCTCGCAGATCTCCGACAGGCACTTAGCTGCTCTCTCTGCATCTGTGGGTATGCGGACGTTTCGTGAATGCAGCCTGGCCCCGCCTTTGTCACCACAGGTAACGCCATTTCTGCTTGCTTTACAGCTGGCTTAAATGCTGGGGTCATTGGTTGTGGCGGTTTTGCTGCTTTCTCTGCTGCAATCGATTATTATCTACGGTGAGAGTGACTGCCTCCGGGGACGGACACCACCACCCAGGACCAGAGCTGCCCTGTGGAGGGCCTTTCTGCACCACTCGGGGCCCTCACCTCAGACCCTCCTAACTAAGCTGCTAGCAGGTAGCCAGCTGGAACATCCAGACCCTGAAGACATTTGTTTCCTCTCAGACAGTCCATGTTGTGAGGAGCCGCCCGGCCACTGGGCGCCTCCAGCCTCGGAGCAGCCACTCTCTCTGCTCCTGGACGCCAGCCTCTCTCTCTCTCCGGCAGATTAGGAGTCAGTGTGTTGACTTGTAGAAGTGAAGCTCCACAGAGATTCGGTGCTGACCACAGTTGGCCCCCTGGCTGGTTAGTGCTGTGGGAACGGAGGTGACTTTACAGACCCAGGAAGCTGCTCGACCTTGGAACTCCATGCAAACATCCCTCTCACGTATCCATCAGGGCAGCGCAGAGTAAACGTATGCCTGCTGACCAATTGTGTCACTTTGTTTAGCCTTCTGCTATCCTTGTTTAAAAAAATGTATTTATATTACAGCTTAAATGGTTTATTTTCAAATTCCATAACTCCCCAAAATGGTGCCAGGTGGCCCAAAGATTGAACATTCAAAGGAGAAAAATTGAGAAGTCTGGGATTGCCAGATTTTCAGGGTTTATACTCGTGTGACCCTCGTCGAGACAGTTATGTCAGCCAGGGCCTTCCATCCAAGAAGCCAGCCTCGCCCCTTCCTGGGACACATTGAACCCCCAGGTGTGAGTCCTACTGCCTCTTCTAAAAAGCCCTCCTGTGGGCGGCTGGTAGGGATGCCCACGGGCTAAGCCACTGGCTGGTGTTACGCTCTGAGCACCGACTCGGCCTGGCTCCAGGACACCAGGACACGTGAGGAGCCTGCTCCCCTCATTCTGACGAAGTCACAGCAGGGACTGGGTCAAGTCAGACATCGCTGAGGGGCTGTTCACCACTCGCTTGCTCTCTGGTACGTGTTTTTTGTTTTTAAATATATTTTATTGATTTTTTACAGAGAGGAAGGGAGAGGGATAGAGAGTTAGAAACATCAATCAGCTCCCTCCTACACACCCCCCACTGGGGATGTGCCCGCAACCCAGGTACATGCCCTTGACCGGAATCGAACCTGGGACCCTCGAGTCCGCAGGCCGACGCTCTATCCACTGAGCCACACCGGTCAGGGCTGGTGCGTGTTGTTTTGCTTTAACATGTTTTCTACTTGACCCGGTAGCCCTTTCCTGACAACAGCTCGGTCTTACTGTGTCAGAGACAAAAATAGCCTTTTGTGATTAGGGTTTGCCTCGGGTTCTGCTTTACTCTGGTGCTTCGGGGGCAAGACGAAGCGGATGAGTTCAGGCGTTTGCTCTCGGGGGCAGGCAGGCAGGCAGGCGTGCGGGGGACATATAATCCTGGCTGTCTTCAGCCAGTGGTTGTCTTTTTTCCTGCAGTACAGTAACTCCCTCACCTTTTGTTTTTTTGCTTGCTTTCCCCTTGCCTGCTGTCTACTAGCCCACCCACTCTTAACCAGAGTTCCAAGACTGAGCTGGAACATCCAGGCATCCCGAGTGTGTGTGTGTATGTGAGTGATAATGTCAAACCCAGCTGGTAACACCTTCCCTGGCCATGTCTGCTGTTTCCTTTGGAATGAGTGTGCAGAGCTCATGTCCTTCTATGGTGAATTCTATATAATGCCTGGCCTCGTCTCACAGGCATGAGGCGCCATTGCTGCTAGGCTGTCTGGAGTGTCCTCAGAGGTCCGAGAACTAATTTAGAATGATTTTCTACATTGTCCCTACGTGTCACCTATAAGCTTTGAGAGCAATAGCAGAGACTCCTACCTGGCACCTGGCAAAGTGTTAGGATGCCCAGCATCTTCTACCAGCCAGTCTAGCGCATGGGGTCAGGTACACTGAACAGCCGGACACAGGACAAGCTGCCCTCACGACTGCCTTGGAAAGGATGAGCCCTGGGCTGTCAGTGGCCATCAGTTCAGTAGGCGAAGCACTGTCCACATTGACTATTCAGTCAGGAGGAGATGAATCGTTTCCTGTTTCAGATGGCTAAGGAGTCAGTGTGACCTCATACACCAAACACCAGTTTTCCGAGACATCTGTTCCTGATCTCCAGAATAAACAAGTGTCCAAAGGCCTGGGCTGGTGGGAGCTACGTTAACCCCACTCGCTCCTGAAGGGAGCGGGCTCTCCGGGGGATCCCGCCTCTTTGCAGGCAGACGAGGCCAGAGGCTGCCCCAAAGCTGAGCCGCATCCAAGGAAAATGTAACGTTTACACAAAATAGGAAGCCTGCACTTGAATGGACAAGTTCCTGCCATCTCTCTGAGGATGCCGATGCCCAGGTCCCGGCAGGGCATCTGTACTGCCTAGCTGGCTGCGGGGCAACCTGGAGGCCTTGTGAAGAGGCGGCGACCGTGTGGGCTCCCCTCCCTCCAGCTGCCACCGTCCCCACGGAGTCACAGAAGCGCTCAGGGGAGGTGAACGGGTAAACATGCCTGTGAACTCACATCTGGATGCAGGCTGAAGAGTTAAATACTCAGATTGGTCTTCCCTGGGCCACTGAGGACACAAGTGTCCGCACCACAGGGCTGAGCTGTGTGCAAATGATGGGGCTTTGCATTTTTTTATTAACATTTTTCTTTCACGTGGTTTACATCAATTTATAATAATCTACATAAGATGAAACAGAACAGAGACAAAAAAATATATCCTTACCCACGTATTAAAGTCAAATATTAACGAAGGGTCCCATCCCACCGGTCTCGGCAAAAACCGGCAGCCCATAGTCATTGCCGGCAAGGACAGGCCACCTGGGATTCCTGCGGCCTGTGTGCTGAGCCTGTGGCACAGCCTGCCCTGCTGGGCACAGTGGCTGCGGGTTCTGGGCTGCACAGTTCCTGCCCCAGGAGAACCCGTGGGCTATTTCCTTGGTGCAGCGTAGTCCAGGTCTGGTACCTGCCCTCACCCACTCGGGGTAGAATTTATAGATACTCTGAGCCTTTTGCATTTCTCAGCCCTTCAGCCTTCCTCCCACTCTCACTGCCTAAGCACGCGTGGGGCTGCAGTTAGTGGCTACCTGCTGCTAAGTAAACATCCCTTGTTTTGGGAGGTGGGAGGCACCCATTTTTGGCTGTAACTAGCTCAAGCTGGGCCTCCAGTCATTACCATCAACGGGATGGGCAGACGCTGGGATCTTTAGACTCAAGTTCTGTCCCCATCTCCTGTCCCAGGGAGCAGGGCTCCTAAATAAGCTGCTAGCAGGCCGCCAGCGAGGTGGCATTCCCCTCCGGGGCCTCTTTCCTCCGATGTGCACAGCGCGTGTACCGCTCGGCCCCAGATGGAGTAACAGGTGTAAACAAGATCCGAAAGGGCCCTCCTCGGAGCACGCACTACAGCTTCAGGGCCAGGAGGCCCTTCTTTAACACTCAGCCCTGAGCGCAAGCTGTGGGAGCTGTTCCCTCCAGTCCTGAGGCCCAGCATCTACTCTGCCAGAGGAGAGCTGGAGAGCTTGTGCTGCAGCGCAAGCCCCTGCCGCCTGGGAGTGTCTGCCCTGCCAGGCTGGCCACCACAGGCTCCCACGGGAAGAAACAAGTATACTCACTCTTTTCCAGGACGGAGCAAGGGGTCTCCCAGCTGGGAATGGAACCTGCCGACCCTGACTCGATAGAGCATCAACAACGAGGGTCCCCGGCAAAACCCAACCCCATGAGAGGCAGTTCACCCGAAAGGCTGCATCTAGATGTCGGGGTTGGGAGGCAGCACCCTGACGGCTGCCTTCGTGGGCTGTGCCTGCCTTTCCCAGGCCCTGAGCACCTGTGGCCGTGGGGCTACCCCGTGGCAGTGCTTGGCTGGGGAGGATGTAAAATCTAAGGCAGAGGTACCACGAGGTACATGGAGGCGCCAGGAAGGGCTCGTCTCCTGCATGGAGCTGGCCGTTGTCTGGACACCTGCTTCAGCCACAGCAGCTGCCCTCCTGGAGGCCTCGCTTCACTAGAAAAGCCACTAGGACTCCTGCTGCTGGCAGCCGCTCCCCTGCTCAGGACACCAGCGCTGCACGCACTCCTCTGAGCCTCCCTCCGGTGCTGCGCCTCCCCCACCTCCCCGACGCTTTCCCCACCCTCTGGCCATCTCAATAGCAGGTCACCTGGAGTCTACACTCAAAGGAAATAGACCACCAAGGGAAAAGGAACTGAAAAGCAGAAGAAGAAACAGTCAAGGTGCCTCACCGGTAGACAGGAGACAGAACAGATAAACCCCAGAAATGGTCCTCGGGTGGAAAATTCCAGAAATCCGCTCCCCAGCTCTGCTAAGCTGAGGATTGGTGCGAGTCTGTCTCCTTGTCCAACATTTGCACAGGCAGCAAGGCAAAGCAGGCGTGCTTCCAC